GGTCTTTGCCTGTGATAATCTCTGCTGGAATGCTCTTCCCCTGAGAGCCACATGACTCGATTCCTCACCTAATTCAGGTCTTAGAACAAATTTCTCCTTTCAGTGAGAAGGTCCCTGATCAGCCTAATTAAAATTATAGCCCTCCACCCCAACTCCCCTGCCCTCTTCTGTCCCCATCAGCTTCAATTTTTTTCATTGTACTTATTACCATCTGATAGACTATGTATTCTACTCATTTTCTTGTCTCTTGAATTTTTGTTTCTTATTTTACTGGATTCCTGTCTCACCCCCACTAGCATGTAAGGGATTCTAGAACAGTATATGACATATAATAAATAGGGTTCAATAATATTTTGCTGAATTAACTAAAGAATCTGGTTTAAACAGTGCAGCTTGCCGGACAAAGTCTGACCCTTACGTTGCAGTTCTTCAGCTGAGTATTTGGGCGACCTTGAAGAGGTTATTTAACATCTTCAAGTTTTACAGTCCTTATTAAAAAAATATGGGGATAATCCTGATTTCACATGGTTGCTCTGAGAATTAGATATCAGCTGTAAAGAGCATAGCCCATAGAAAGTGCTCAGTAAGTGGATGATGGCTACTGCCATTCTGTTGCCATTACTGATAATAATGACAATAATAATAGTATGGACAACATGGGCTGAGCGAGATGAAGTGACAACTAGCATAACAAAGTTATTCTCACAGAAATGGAACCAGAGTGCAGATCTTCTGTCCCCAGATCTGTCCCCAGTTCTAAATCTCCATCACTGAGCCAGCTGCAGAGCTCTGACGGGGAGAAGGGATGGAGATCTGGCACTCTGCAGACAGACCTAGGGAAGCCCAGTAATATAGTCACCCCTACACGTGGGTCCAGATGTGCTGAATGTTCAGTCGTGACGCCTTGACCACATCTCGAAATTACCTGGTACATACAGGCTGGCCAGAGGTAGGCATTAGTCCTGCTGTCTTCACTCCCCATTTTGTTGGTCATTGGGAGGCCCTAACCAGCTACACCAGGTAAGAGCCCCCAGGCCTGGCCAGAAGCCATGAGTATCCTAATGGCCAACTAGAGAGTGGCAAGAGGGACCAAAGGGGCAAGGGAACTCATGACTGGATGGTCTTGCCTTTTTTAAAATTAAAAAGCAAGAGAAGTCTACAGTCCTGTCACCCTGAACAAGCCCGATCCCGTCTGATCTTGGAAGCTAAGCAGGGTCGGGCCTCTTTAGTACTTGGATGGGCGACCACCTAGGAAGACCAGGTGCTATAGGCATAAAAAAATTAAAAATAAGGGATTGTAAGCTGACAAGGTCCTTGTAATATGTGAGGTCAACCAAGGGTCGCCTCGCCTAAAAAAATAAAATAAAATAATAAAAATAAAAAGCAAAAGAAAAAAAAGGGGTTATGGATTTTCTGGGACAGGAAGGAGGTGTTTTAATGTCACAGCATGTCCGACTGTAAGGCTAATATGAAAAAGTAGGAAACCAGAAGAGATTATGTGAGGTTCAGCCAGTTGCCACGGTGCGTCTTGCCAGAAGTGATGACTACTGAGTGGAGAACAGAGTGGATAACTTGTGATGTCCCTTTCTGGGAAGCAGAATGGCCACTTCTTTTATCTCTCAACGTAACTGGGAATCACAAAAGCTTGTTCCTCTCTACCACCACCATCAAAAGGAAGCATGTCATCTGCAAAAGCTTGTTCATCTCTACCACCACCATCAAAAGGAAGTATGTTCTAAGAGGGCTAGCTGCGGCCTGTCAATAGAGACCCGTGGCCAAGAGGGAGGTCGGGGACCAGCCAGGAAGATGCCAGGTGGAGCAGCTCATGGCTTGGTTAGTGGCTGATTTTCCAACCTCACAGATGCCCAGAACTGGCCACTGAGCAGATATGTTCTTCCTTAGCTCATGTCTGGACAGGACTTTCTGGACAGAGGCTGGAAATGATGCTGTCATTTGATTCACTTTTCCCTCTACTCATGGTCTTGGTGTTCCTTCAGAGCTTTCCCCATTGCTCTCCCAGGGCTCAGATGCTCAGATTTGGGAAATGTGGGTGGTATGTGTGTGGAGTGCATGCATAGGGGATGTCTGTGTGTGCTGGGTGTGTGTGGAAGGTGTGTGTGGTGTATGTGTGTATGCACAGGCATGGGGTAAGCAGTCAGGAGCACATGCAAGCAGTGAGTGCACCCATGTAAACAGGCCCAGGAGCTCCGACCCCAGCACGTGCCTCTAGTGAGACACCAAAGAAAGGGAAGCCAGCCCCTTCCCGTCTTCATTCAGTGAGACTTGCCAAGGGGTCCCACTGACGCTGTCATGTCCTGCAGAGCTCTCCTTCAGGGTGTGGATGTGCGGAGGGAGCTTGGAGATTGTGCCCTGCAGCCGGGTGGGCCACGTCTTCCGGAAACGTCACCCCTACAACTTCCCTGAGGGCAACGCCCTCACCTACATCAGGTAGGTCACAGCACCAAGAGCACCAGGCTAGGAGTCAGCACACCAGGGGTCTAGAGCCAGTCCTGTCAGTTACTTGTGTGACTGAGCAGCCACCCACCTCTCTGGGCTTCGGTTTCCCCATTTGCTTCCTCCCAGGTTTCCATTCTGGATTCCAGGTACTTTCAGGGGTGGAAGGATGAAGTTGGGGGTGTCGCCTATAGAACTGCCTTGCCTTAGCTGTCCTTGAGGGTCTTGGAAAACTAGCCAAATGACTGACTAGGTGCTGCCCTCCACTCATTGGGCCCCAAGTACTGGTGATGCATGTCATGTTCTGACTTGGACTTGGTCAGCATCTGCCTATCCATTTCCCCAGCCACAGGCCTTTTAATACATTTCAGATACACAGTTTACATATACAGAGAGATACACACATCGTGGGTTCATGTTTGTGCTTTTACAGAAATGGGGTCATGCTATACGTTTTTTTCTGCAGCATGCTTTCTCTGCCACTCAACACTAAATTATAGACATCCTTCTGTGTCGGTACATATTAACCATGGCATTCTTTTTCAAGGTCGCCTAGTACACCATCACATGGAAGTAGCTCATTATCTTCTACTGATGGGCATTTAAGTTGTTACCAGCGTTTTATTAAACATTCTTGTACATGTCCTTATTGCCCACATACAGGTCTATCAGTAGAATAGATTCCTGGCAGTGGAGGGTCAAAGAGTGTACATACCTACAAAGGAGATGGATGTTGACAGACTAATCTCCAAAAAGATTGTACTCATTTATACCACCCCAGTCAGTCTTGTTTTGCCTACACTCCTGAGATTTTCATCACCCTATGTTCTCATCAATGAACAAAGCTAATCTTGATCCTAACGTTATTTCTTTCGCCCCCCTGGTGACCTTCTTTTGCTCCTTCCTCTCCTTTTAGGAACACTAAGCAAAGCTAATCTTGATCCTAACCTTACTTCTTTCGCCCCCCTGGTGACCTTTTGCTCCTTCCTCTCCTTTTAGGAACACTAAGCGCACTGCGGAGGTGTGGATGGACGAATACAAGCAATATTACTACGAGGCTCGGCCCTCGGCCATTGGGAAGGCTTTTGGCAGGTGGGCCCCTCCACCAGCCCTGGTTGCCTCCCTTCACCCACGTTAGAACAACCTTAGCAGAATACAGAATGGTGTGTGTGCCAGGGAAACATTCACGGTCTCCTTAGTAACTGAGCCCCCTCCACTAGGCTCTTGAGCTGCTCGGTTATGCAATGCGGAGGGAGACAGGACCCTGGCCCTCGAGGGGTAGGCAGCACCGTGGAGAGAAATAACCAGGGAAGGCTCGATTCTGACAGTTTCCGTTCACAAGCTGCCTGCAGGAAAAGGGACATCTGTGGGAGTAGTTAGGGATGAGCTGTCTGCAGAAAACACTTGGGGTTTTGCTTCCACCCGCTGTTGTTCAAAATCTGACTGTGATGTGTTAGCTTATTTTCCAGTCTTGGACCGTTATGACTACAGTCTGGTTAAGCATTTTTGAAATGCACATTGGTTGTGAAATCAATTTAGTGGATTGTGACCACCATTTCAAAAAATGATAGAGAATTAGAACACTGTAGATTAGTACAGAACAGAATGGAAAGTAACAGTTGATTGCAGGGCGGGATAGTATTGCTTTGTGAAACTCTTATTTCAGTTAAGTGTGTACATGTGTCTTAACATGGGTAAACTCCATCACAATAAGTTGTATTTATTTCTTAAGATTGTGGTCAGAAACGTTTGAAAACATCATAGCGATCATCAGTGAATCTTCTCCCCTCTATTTACTTATGTCTGTCCATTAAAAAAATGTTAGGTCAGTGACTATTTCTTTTAGAGAGGAATTAACATTTACTGAGGATCTACCCTGTGCCAGGCACTTATGTTCCTTAATTTATTTGATTCTCACCAAAATCTTCTGAGGTTGGTGGTCTTGGCTTCAGTTTACTGGAGAAGAAACTGAGGCTCAGAGAGGCGGTGAGGGGCACGCATCTGTCTGTGTCCACTACCGTCAGAGTAGCCGAAGAAGGCGAGGAGATCAAACTGCTGTGTCCACCGACACATCAGATGGTTCTGATTTGCCGGAATTCCTGAAAGACCTCCAAAGCCTGTTCTTCTTGTTAGACCTTTTCCGCTAAACTGCAATGCAGGAAAGGAAAACTTTGAGTTCGTTCAGGCTCTGCTCTCTGTGGAAATGCAAACCAGGCAGTGGAATGCTACCTGAAGTCCCAAGGAGTGAGAAGGAGAGTAAAGCATGGCCCTCTGCGGGCTGGGCTGATCCTGAAAAGTGAGCAGGAGTTTGAGGAGAGAAATGAGGAATGGCCTGGGGACCTGAGGTGAACTTGCGGGTCAGAGAAAGAATGCAGGCAGGTGGCCAAAGCTGGAGGGCAGGCTCAAACCCAGCCTCTTGGTGCTGGCCCTCCTGGGCTAGGGAGAAAGAAGGGGCCGGCCTCCTGTGGCCTGGGGAGGGGCCTCTATCGGCCTCCCTGGGGCTTCTTTCCCTCTCCTGCTGGCCAAAGCCTGAACTTGGCCTCCTCTTTCAGTGTGGCCACGAGGATTGAGCAGAGGAAGAAGATGAACTGCAAGTCCTTCCGCTGGTACCTGGATAATGTCTACCCAGAGCTCACGTGAGTGCAGCCCTCAGCTTGTATGTCTGGCCTGGTTGGGGGACCCCCCCCCCCCGCCATCCCGAGATATCCCCATCCCAGGCAGTCTGGTTTTTTCTAGTTGTCAGTGTTTATCTTCAGGTGAAGGCTCTGAGGAAACCCAGGGGACATTACCAGGAATTAAAAATGATGCGTGGTAGGAACCAAATTTTTAACAGACTGGGTGTTCAAGCTAGAAATGGACATTGTCTCCTTAGGAAAACAACACTGCATTATGTAGCAAAGGCCACAGAAATCGCCATCCCCTTTGACTCAGTTCTCTCCCTTCTGGGAGTTTGTTTATCCTAAGGAAATGAAGCAACTAAAACAACACAAAAAAAACTGTTGACAAGTAGATGTTCACTGTAGGCTTCTCTGTTGCTGGGAAGAAATTGAGAAACAACCAAGAATAGGGGCTGGGTTTTGAGAATCACTATACACTGATCTAAACAAATACTATGCACCTATTAATATTATAATCATAAAGACTGTGAAAAAGTGTGGGGAAATATTTGCTCTAGCAAATAAGGAAGCAACCTGCAAATGACATGTGCACTAGAGCTGCACTGCAGAGGGATGTGTGTGTGCTAACCAGGACTGTGGGTGACCAGCTATAATGGCCATATAATGGTGGGGCTCAGAGAATTCTTTTTTCTGATCTCAAAATCCTTTTCAGTGTCTTGGCTGCGTCCACATGGCTCATTTCCTCACCTCCTCAGGTCTTGCTCAGATGTCCCCTACTCAGGGAAACCTCCCCTACGCACTCTAAATTTGCACACCACCCCATCCCCAGCACTCCTGCTTTGTTTTCCTCTGTGCCCTTATCATCATTTAGCACACACCTCGCCGGTTAATTGTGTGGTCATCTTCCTGTACTTGACAGTGAACTCCATGAGGGTAGAGGTGTTTAACTGTCTAGTACTCTGCTTTATCTCCAGCCTCTACAACAGTGCTTCTCCCGAAATGGGCACTCGATAAATACTTTCGACTGAATAAATGACATAGGCGATAAGCCTCAGTAATACCTTTGAAATTATCCCTTCCATAGCTGTCACCTTGGGGAACAGGTTATCTCACTGCTGCCAGCTTTCTCACAAGGATGCTGCTGCGGCCTTCCAGAACATTCTACTCTTCAGAGCCTGCATATCCTTGAAGGAGGCAAGTCTTTGTTTTTCCAGGGCAGATTTGAGTTTTGGAAGACAGCCATAGTTACATTGTAACCAAGACCAGTGAATAAACTAGATGATTAACCCAGATAATATAACCCTGGATTCCAAAAACAGTGTGACGAGACTGAATTGAAACCAGTGACAAGAATAAACTGACGCTGGGAGCAATTTCTAAGGAATTCCAAAACGGTTTGAGCAACAGCAGCATCCTCGGAAGCAAGTCGGCAGCCTGGATAACCCCAAGCTCCCTGGGTGATAGCTGTGAAGGAAAGAACACTAATTTATAAAAAGTGTAATAAACGAACAACTTCCTCAAGTGACTCCTTTCAGGGGGATGATTTCATTCAGGCATGTCATTTCTGAGGGAAAGTCATTCCTTTACATTCTGTTAGAGTTCATACAACATTTGGTTAGAGCCATAGACTTCAGGCCTTGGGCAGGAGGTGGGAAGCCCAGAGGAGATATTGGTGGTGGTAGTGTGTGTGTGGGGGACCGAGAATGTGCCCTTTCTCTCTACACTCCAGTCCCACATCAGTGTCCCACATCCCCTGAGGACCAAGAAAGAGAAGTGTTTTATAACCATCAGGAACCCGGATCAGTCAATCCCAAGGCGGGAGTGGATGAAACCAGCTGTGTTAAATGAGGAGCATAAGTCATCTTCTGTTCTTTCACTGTGTGAAAGTTAAAAAACAAAACCAAAATTTAAAAAAATGCTCTTTTGTTGTTAAGTTAGAAACCACACACCTCATTCATATCCAGATTACCCATCCCCAGTCCCCTCGTTCATGTTCTGCCTCAGTACTCAGAGCAAGTGGCTAGGAGTGGATCAGGTTGTTGGTTAGAAAGATCTTTAGGCCCAAATGACACCCACTTTCTTCCAAACAGAGTGTCTTAATAGTTGGCCCACACTTGTAGAGGGTCAACGGAGAGACCGAGGAGGCTGAAGGAAGAGCCCTTTGCTTTCCCAGCCTGCCTGCAATCCCACCACAGCCATGCCTCTTATCCAGACCAGAGTTCTGCTGGCCTCGACACCTGCTAATGTATTACTTTTATGAAGATGATCAGGAACAGTTGTGCAGACCGTGCACTGCACAAGCATACCACATTTGCGAGGGTGCTCGTCACACCATCGATATTATACGCTTATCACAATAATTCCTGATAAATGACAATAAAAGTCTTCTTCTAACAGAAGCAGCATATTATGACAATTTTCTAACAGATGGAAATAAAGTGTCTTAAGGAAGGGGCATCTATTGCTCTTTCTACAGAGGCATCATAAGAGGTAACGACAGCCTAGCTTAGAGGAGTCAATAGAGAGGGAAGCAGATGTAGACTTAAAAGGACTATTGACAAATGCGACCGCTTAGCCGTGCCCTGGCAGGGAGCTGAAGAAGAGTGCTGACGGCAGCCAACCCAGCTGCTCGGGGCTGCTACACCCAGATGCCTCAGCAGCTGCATCTGGTCTGGAGGTGGCTGCTTAAGCCCCGGCTTTCCTCCATCGGCATCAGTGGGCAAGGCTTCAATTCCACACTTGGACAGTGCCCACCTCACCTCTGAAAACTGATCACTTTGCACAGCTCCCTAAGCAACGATGGGTAGGGAGAGGAGAAAATAGAAGGGTCTGGAACAGCCCTTGGACTGCATACCCTGGAGCCCAGTTCTCAAAGAGGCCTGAGTGGGCATCTTGTCTCTGCAGAGAAGGGAGAGTAGAGGTGGGAATATAACCTTTTGCCGCTGGAAGATGCAGAGAGGGTGGATGGAGCTATTGCCTCCCAACACCCTTGAACCCAGCAAGGATTGCAAACTCGGATCCTGTATCAGTCAGGTAATGTAAATGAGTCAAGTGGGTGGAGAGGAGCAATAGGGAGCTGAGGGGCCTGTGGCAAAGTGTATTCAAAAGCTCCACCCAGAGGGACAGCTGCTCCTCACAATGGTAGTGTCAGGCAGGAGTGCAAATTCCATATGGACTGATCTTTCTATTTTTTCAAGAGAAGCTGAATTCAGATTTTTTTGTGTAACCTCGAAATTTTTAAATATTACCAACTAACTAAAAGTGCCAACAACCACACCAAGCAGGTCAGATAAAACGTGTCCTGAGCCAGACTCGGCTTGGGGGCTGACGGTTTGCAGCTTCTGCTCTCGAACCACATGATCTCAGCGGGGATCTGGAGGGGAACAGACTGCCAGGTGGGGAGAGGAGGTGAAGGTGTCTCCCAGAGGCTCTGTGAGAATGGGTGGGTTTGGGAGCCCTGGGGGCTTCCATCCAGCCCTAGGGAAGGAAGATCTGGTTTGGCAGAGATCCTGTAGGTTGTCCACATCATAGAACGCCAGAAATGTTCTGATGCACCCCCCATCCCCCACCCAAGTTCTCTTCCCAACAGGTAACAGGAGGCAGATAAGTCAGACTCTAAGCCCTCTTGGTTCCATATCACCCCACTGTGGGTCCATAATCAGAGTGCGCACAACTTTCTAAACCCGGTTATACAAGCCCGCATCGGCTGGAGCTGGCAGCCTCCTTAGTTAGGTTTGTTACCCACAGTGTAAGACAGTGTCTTATGTCGTGGTGTGTGTGATTGTGTGTGTGTGTGTGTGTGTGTGTGTGTTTAAGCATATTTTCCTGTGCTTATGAAATGATTTAATTATACAGTGTTTTGAAACATGCCTGTTTTACCTAACAGTATATCGTAAACACTTCCTCACATTACCTGGTATTCTTCCAGAGAGTCATTTTTAACGGCTAAAGTGTTTTCCATCCTACAGACAATCGGAATTTACTTAGCCCATCCCCTATTGTAGAATTTTCCAATGTTTTGATAGGAATTTCCAATGTTTTCAGTATAAGCCATCACTCTGAGATGAATATTTTTTAAACTAAGTCTCTGCACATATCTATAATTATTGCCATAAGATATTAAGTTTCCAGAAGTGGGATGATTAGGTCAAAGGTGTGCACATTTTTAAGGCTTTTGATACATAATGACACATTGCTTTCCAGAAAAGTAAGGCCAGTTTATGATCTCACCAGTAGGGTAGGAAAAGATCCAATCTCACAGCTAGTACCAACACTGGCTATTGATACACACACACACACACACACACACACACACACACACACACACACATGCACATACTCATATAAATTATTTTATATATACATATATGGTAAATGAAGAGTGTTAGCTCTCTAATATATATTTAATCATCAATGAAATTGAACACATTTTCATATTTGTGTATTTTAAATTTTCCTCTTCAAAGGACCCCTTCCCTGTCATTTTGAGCTTGCTTATTGAGCTCACATTCGGGCCCCAGGCTCTCCCCGGGCTTTCCTCTTTCCGGACTGGGGAGCCCTGGGTTTCTGGCCTGAGCTCTCTCACCGCCAGGGTCCTCTCAGGCCTGGCCTCCAGGGCAGTCCCTGTGAGGACGAGGCACGTCTTCCCAGGGGAATCCCTGCTCCCTTGCCTCCCCCAACTAGCTAGGCCTGCCCCTAGTGCCCCTTCCCACAGAGACCTTGGTGCCCCTGGAGCTGACCGCGGCTGCCCTCTGGGTAGGTGTGGGTGAGCAGAGGACAAGCCTGACTGCTGCCTTTTCTCTCAGGGTCCCGGTCAAAGAAGTACTCCCTGGCATCATTAAGCAAGGGGTTAATTGTTTAGAGTCTCAGGGCCAGGACACCGCTGGGAACTTCCTGCTCGGAGTGGGGATCTGCAGAGGGTCTGCCAAGAACCCCCTCGCTTCCCAGGTAAGCTGCTTAGGACGCAGAGTGGTGTGAGGGGCTTTCTTCTGCTCATTCTCATCCTTTCTGTCTACACCCTCCGCAAACCCATTTTGCCAGGCACCCTGCCAGCCGTCCCCTCCCACTCTGCTCCTTGGGTCTGCCTTTGCTGCATTCCCATCCCCTTTCCAGCCTGTCACACAGTTGCCGTCTGTGTACCGCCCACCTTCTCTTTGCAGAAGGAGAAATGCTGCCCAAACAGCACCCAGTTCTCTCCGGGGATGCAGCTGTGGTCAGCTTGTATGACAGGCAGTAGAGCATCCGGACCCCTGTGTGAGCACACACGTGCAAAATATGAGTCAATGCACCCACATCAAAACTAGAGCAGGTCGTAGAGACCCCCAGCAAGGACAGGCACCTTGGCTGCCCTGGCCTCATGTCCTGTCTTTCTTCCC